GCACGTTTTTTTAGGCCGGACGCATGCATGGAAGGCACACGAGCTAGCAAAGTGCAGAACAGCGTGCGTGCAAAGCGTGCATGAGTGCGGCAAACTGGTGGTAAAGTTAAGTGAAACCCACCCCTTTTTGCTGGACTACAAAAGCTAACATCCTCCACCCTGGAAAGGCTCTGGAATCCCACAACAGCTGGAGCAGAGGTGGGTTTCAGCAGGTTCTGACCAGTTTTGGAGAACCGATAGTGGAAATTTTGAGTCGTCCGGAGAACCGGTAGTAAAAATTCTGACTGGCCCCACCTCCATCTATTCTCTGCCTCCCGAGTCCCAGCTGATTGGGAGGGAATGGAGATTTTACAGTATCCTTCCCCTGCATTGGGGAGGGAATGGAGATTTTACAGTATCCTTCCCCTGGAGTGGGGAGGGAATGGAGATTTTACAGTATCCTTCCCCTGGAGTGGGGTGGGAATGGAGATTTTACAGTATCCTTCCCCTGCCATGCCCACCAAACCACGACCACCAAGCCACACCCACAGAACCGATAGTAAAAATTTTTGAAGCCCACCACTGAGCTGGAGGGCCACCTCCAGGTTTCTCATCAACAAATTTCAGTCTGTGTGGGTGGCATAATATGATTTATTCCTATTCCAGGAAGAAATGCTGGAGAGAGGATAGAATGATAGAGAGAATAGCAGTACATATGAACAAGAACTTAGGTTCATTCAAACCGAGCCAAGCCAGGTCCTCCAGCTTCAATTCATTTCCAGATACATTTGAAAGAAGTTTCTGTGTCCACAGCCTGAATAGATGAAGGGCCTTGAAGATAAAGGTAAAAGTAAAGGTTTCCCTCGCACATATGTGCTAGTCGTTCCTGACTCTAGAGGGCAGTGCTCATCTCCGTTTCAAAGCCGAAGAGCCAGCGCTGTCCGAAGACGTCTCCGTGGTCCTGTGGCCGGCATGACGCAACGTCAAAGGTGCACAGAACGCTGTTCCTTTCCCACCAAAGGTGGTCCCTATTTTTCTACTGGCATTTTTTACCTGCTTTCGAACTGCTAGGTTGGCAGAAGCTGGGACAAGTCACGGGAGCTCACCCCGTTACGTGGCGCTAGGGATTCGAACTGCTGAACTGCCGACCTTTCGATCGACAAGCTCGGCGTCTTAGCCACTGAGATACTGACGATACAGCTCTCTAAATACAGGAAGTCCTTGATTTAGGGCCACAACTGAGCCCTAAATTTCTGTTGCTTAAGCAAGATAGGCATTCAGCGAATTTTGCCCATTTCTTGCTAGGGTTGCTAAGTGAGTCACATGATTGTTAAATGAATCTTCCTTCCCCATTGACTTTGCTTGTCAAAAGGTCGCGAAAGTCGAACACAAGAACCCAGGAAATGTCATAAAAAAAACGTGCCAGTTGCAAAAAAAAATTGGTCATAAGTTACTTTTTTCGGGGCGTTGTAACTCCGAACAGTCAAGAAACGAAAGGTTGAAAGTCAAGGACTGCCTGTGATTTTCTTCTGCCTTCCGCAATACTTTGGAAGAGGTGATCTTGAAAAAGCTATTACCGCTTCTATTACATTAGGTTACATATCGTGCACGATAATGTTCCTGGGAATACAGTATGATATAATTAGCGTGTATTGGATTTTGTGGTAATGAAACTAAATATGAGCGTTCCGGATCATGAAAAATGCTGCAAATTAGCTGGCCGAAGGGAATCAGCGCTGTTGTGCAGCTGTTACTGCATTTCATGCATTTCTGTTGAATGCGATATCATATTTTTCACTTGCTTGCTTTTAGACTCACTGGAGATTTTTTGCATCCAAGAAAAAAACAGGAGGCGGGAAATCAATGTTGCATTTCTCAGGCTGATAAAATAGCCCCTTCCATGCGGAGACCTAAAATGGTGGGGAATTTAAAAAGAGCAAGATGGCAGCTCCAGTGTCACCTTACAGTAGTGGCCAAAATTGTGGAAAACTTTTGGGAAAAGTGTATTTTTGAGGTTTGATGGCTAATAACACCCCTTTATTTTTATTTTTTTGGGGTTTCAAGATAATCCTATTCCACTGCTGGAATGGCCTGGGAATAGCCCAGACTTTCACCCAATGGAAAATCTATGGAGCCGACTCAATAAACTTGTTAGTCAGAAGCGACCCAGCAATCAAACCCAGTTAATAGAAGCCATCCTTCAATCTTGGTTTCACATTAGAACAGCTGCAGAACTCAAAGACTTGGTTCACTCCATGGGAAGACGTTGTAAGGCCGTCATTCATGCGGAAGGTTGCCCAACTAAGGATTAACTGACGTGATAGTTTTTCTATATCTGGTTTTTCTGTGGTGATAATTTTTGTCTATCTCGTTTTTTCTACGTGTTTTACTTTTCTTCTTTATACTGTAATGGCTATTCTAATAGCAAATCCTTCATTAAAGTTATTGCATTACATTATTGATTACATTAACTTTCCATTGATATAGAATTTTACGGTACTGCTCCAAAAAAAAAAGGCGATGTTGTTAGCTATTTTTAGAAAATACAACTTTTCCCAAAAGGTGTCCACAATTTTGGCCACCACTGTATGCTTGCTGTTCTTCACTGTTATGTAGTGACCAGACCGCTGTGAGCTGACGGGAGAGGGGATGAGGTGGGAAATGCTTGGGGAAATCGAAAGTAGAGACTGTATCACCTCGAGATGCTGCCTCAAGGTCACCCAGCTGGAAGAGAGAACTTCATATCAAACTGCACTTGGACTGACGGTTATGAAAACATCTTGCATGGACTTGGTTGGTTACAGTGGGATGGGCAGCGGGGGGCAGCTGGAAGAGGAAGTAGAACTGAAGGATTTTGGTGTGCAGTTCTGGTTATGCAATGCTGCGATACACTTGACCTCTGATAAAATACACTTGACCTTTCTCCTAGACTGGAGAGACATGTTAAGGGGGGCGGGGTGAGCATAGAATCCTTGCGCTGTAGAAAGATGCAAAGGCCTGACCTCCTCAGAATCTCGAGAGCCTTGGTGGTACAGCGGACTAAGTGCTGTCATGTAGCACTTAGCTGCCAGCTGCCTGCAATTAGTGCGAGTTCAAATCTCACCAGGCTCAAGATTGACTCAGCCTTCCATCCTTCCGAGGTAGGTAAAATGAGGACCCGGATTGTGGGGGCAATAAGCTGACTTTGTAGAAACACTGCTTATGGGGCAGGGGGCAAAAGCCCTAATAAGCAGGTATATACAAAAGAATGAAGGCTATTGCCATAAGTGCATTGTAAGCCACCCTGAGTCTATGGAGAAGGGCGGCATATAAATTGAACTAATAAATAAAATAAATAAATAAATCTGACCATTCTCAAGGAAATGCAGTCAGTTGGGTGACATTCTTGTAATACAGGTGAGTAGCAATGAAGTTTCTGCTTGAGACCATCCATAAGTAGCCTGACATCCAGGAATATAAAGGAAGCCCCACCTTTTTAAAAAAAATAAATATCTATCATGCGGTAACATCTTGAGTTTTGGGACTCTCCTAGACAGCGACGGCTAACTTTTTTGACACAGAGTATAATGCAATGTACTGTTGCGGCTCTGTTACCTGAGCCTGTGTCATCGGCAGGAGAGGACTCCAAGAGTGAAGGAGAGGAGTTGGCAAGGCCTCCCTCTCCAGGACCCTCCTCTCTGGCAATGCCTTCGGTGTCTGCCGAAGGGCAAGAGATAGGGCCGGGGCCAAGTATGTCCACGCAGCCCCAGGTGGACAGTGATGAGAGTAATGAGTCTTGGCTGGATCCACGCCAGCGTTGCAGAGATAAGCGTGCGCAACAGAAGAAAAGGTGTGCCCGAGATTAGGCTGAGTCACTGGACCACACCCCACAGGGTATAAAAGGGAGCGTGGTGGCCAGTCAAGCCTTGTGACGAACAAAGCTGAAAGCTTCCACGCCATTCTGCATTGCCGGACTTTTGGCTATAGACTTTGCTGGATTATCTCTGGACTTGATTGACTCCGTAATTATTGAGCTGTTTCTTTTGATGTACCAGGAGTGGGGAGAAGTTATCTCTCCTCTTTGTAAATAATAAACTCTTGGCAGGCAGCCACTAGGTTGCTGCCAAGTTCCGTTATCATAAGGAAAAGGATTTTGTCGGCTGGTTTGGTTTTTAACTCTTGGACGTCTGTTGGTGTGTGTGCGTGTGGGACGGGGACAGAACATGTACGCGCAACAGCTCCCCATGTGCACCCCTCCCCTGCGCATGTGCACACGACCCCGTGCATGCACACATGACCCCTGTGTGTACCCCACACCTAGCATGCACTCGCATCTCCCGCATGTGCCCCATCTCCTGCGCATGCACGGCAGAGACCCACAAACCAGCTGGCTGGCGCACACGCATCCACGGCAGAGCTAAGCTGGTGTGACCTCTCACGTGCCCAAAGAGAGGGCTCTGTGTGCCACCTGTGGCACACATGTCATAGGTTCACCATCACGGTCCTAGAGGATGCCCTTCCCGTGTGACACTCTCTACAATTTGAGTGCGAGGTCCCTGAGGTAGATTACAATGGTTTGGATGGGATTCAACTCAAGGTGGTTATGAAGCTTGTTTCTGATGTCCCCTTGGCTCTTCTTGGATTGGAATTTGGGGGTGGCAGAGAGGGGGACTTGTGCCTCGTTCAGCTCAGATAGGGAAGCATCACACTCAAGAACCACAACTAAGAAGGTACCACAGATCTACAATGGATTCACGGTATGAGCTCAGATAGCTAGGAGGAACCAGATAATTGGCCAATCAAAGAAGACAAGAGCAGAGGAAGAAGTAAATTGGCAACAAGAGAAGAGCCCTTGTTTCTGATGTCCCCTTGGCTCTTCTTGGATTGGAATTTGGGGGTGGCAGAGAGGGGGTCCCTTCCCCACTGCCTCAGTGACCTAAAACCTGTTTCATTGTTTCATTGTTTTGCTTCCAGGGATTCATTTCTGGTACCAGAAGTGGCCTCAGCTGGTGGCTGGAAAGAATGAAATTGAGTCAGCCCCATCATGGAAAAAATTAAGAACTCTGAATTTATTCATTAGAACTTCAATTTACATGATTTTAGGTCTTCATTTCCCATGCTGGCAGAAGGTACTTTTGTGTGCCATTCTTCTGCTTGGCACGAGGACCTCCCATCCGTTGGCCAACGTAAAAGCTTTCCACCTTTCATTTCTCGTTGCTGGTCTCATTTATGGTGGCAATCATGAATCGCATGACTTTGATGGCAAGACAATTGTCCCCGGGCTCTTTCTCATCAATCAATCAAACACTCCATGATCTGGATTTGTGCCTCGTTCAGCTCAGATAGGGAAGCAATCACACTCGAGAACCACAACTAAGAAGGTACCACAGATCTACAATGGATTCACGGTTGAGCTCAGGCAGCTAGGAAGAGCCAGAGAACTGGCCAATCAAAGAAGACAAGAGCAGAGGAAGAAGTAAACTGGCAACAAGAGAAGAGCCGCAGCTGATGGTGGCATCACGAGAAGCATAGACGGTGCGGCCATTCAAAAGCTGCAAAGGACGGAAGTTGTTGATCATTTTTTGCGGTGTCCCAGCTGAACTTTTGAAGTACGTGGTGTCCACAAATATATTCAGCTAAAACAAAGGGAAAGAGAGGAAGAGAACAGAAGAAGTGCTCTACAACCAGCCCAATATTTCTATATTCGATTTATTTGATTTGTGGTCAGCCATCTTTTTTTTTTTTTTTATATATTTTGATCGTACATTTTCCTTTATTATACATCGCATTTCCAGCTTTGCAACGACAGTGTACTGGCTATATCGAGTCCTTTTTAAGTATAGATAGTATTATACACCCTGAGTATAACCATTATTCTCGTAGTCATACAATGTGGTCTCTTTTAAATACATAATGTTGTACGTCATCGTTATAAACATTATTTTCATAGTTGTACCAAAACACTCTCTATATATATCATGTATGTTTTAATCTATAATCACGTACAGTCTGATAGTACTGTTGCTTACGCTTTATGAAAGGTAAAAGTTTCCCTCGCACATATGTGCTAGTCGTTCCTGACTCTAGGGGGCGGTGCTCATTTCCGTTTCAAAGCCGAAGAGCCAGTGCTGTCTGAAGACGTCTCCGTGGTCATGTGGCCGGCATGACTCAACGCCAAAGGCGCACGGAACGCTGTTCCCTTCCCACCAAAGGTGGTCCCTATTTTTTCTACTTGCATTTTTTACCTGCTTCCGAACTGCTAGGTTGGCAGAAGCTGGGACAAGTCACGGGAGCTCACCCCGTTACGCGGCACTAGGGATTCGAACCGCTGGACTGCAGACCTTTCACTCGACAAGCTCAGCATCCTAGCCACTGAGCCACTGCATCCCGTACGGTATATATTCTTATATACAGTATATCTATATAACTGTACCTATTTCTATTTTGTTGATCTTCTTTCGTTATTAAATTACTAATCTCTCCACCTGTTATCTAACCATTTGTACAATACGTCCCATATTAAGTAATACTCTGATTCCTCTTTGTCTTTAAGTTCCATCGTTAACCTGTCCAATTTGGCACATTCTAATATTTTCTTTACCTTTTCGTCTATACTATGTTTCCCCGAAAATAAGACCCTGTCTTACATTTTTTTTGAACCCTGAAATAAGCGCTTGGCCTTATTGCCATGCGCTCAAAAGCCCAATAGGGCTTATTATTAGGGGATGTCTTATTTTGGGAAAAACAGGATAGGTATACTTTCCTTTTTCCAATTTTGTGCATATGTGATTCAAGATGCTATTATTACATGTAACATTAAGTATATGATTCTTTGATTTATATTTCCCAGGTAATATATTATTTATATTTCCCAGGTAATATCAGCCATCTTGACAACAATGAAAGGTGGACAATTGTCGTTGGGGATGGAAAAGACCAGCTTCGGATGTGAGGATGGTGGGGAGGGGTTGGTTTTACCTGAGATCTGCTGATTGGGATCTGCTCTTCAAATACTGTCCAGATGACCGCTTCATCACAGTTTGGTGTGGTGAGAGATCCTTTGTACCGGTAATATTTGGACAATGAAGCTAAGCTGGGGAGAAGATTGCTCAAAGAAAAGGTGGACGCCATGTCAACGTATTCTCCTAGGCAAAAAGGATAACCATGATTGGGTACCAGAGAAGAAGAAGGATTGGTGCAGGATAAGATGAAAGGAAGTTAACACAGTTCTGTGACAGACACTCAGTAGTATAAGGTAAAGGGAAACGTTCCCTTCGCACATATGTGCTAGTCGTTCCCAACTCTAGGGGGCGGTACTCATCTCCGTTTCAAAGCCGAAGAGCCAGCGCTGTCCGAAGACGTCTCCGTGGTCATGTGGCCGGCATGACTCAACACCAAAGACGCATGGAACGCTGTTACCTTCCCACCAAAGGTGGTCCCTATTTTTCTACTTGCATTCTTTTTACATGCTTTCGAACTGCTAGGGACAAGTAACGGGAGCTCACTCCGTTACGTGGCACTAGGGATTCGAACCGCTGAACTGCCGACCTTTCGATCAACAAGCTCAGCATCTTAGCTGCTGAGCCATCGCGCCCCCTCTCAGTAGCATATTCTCATTCAAAGGAAGTATCCAAGATGTGATGTTCTCACCTCAGAATCTCCGAAGGCGTTGAGGGCTTCCAATTGATTTGGCCACCCAATAGGGCTACAGCTCCTCAGGTTACTAAAGGACTCGCGGCAACCATTTTGAGCTAGAATTGGGGTCCCCATCGCCGTCCCCTTCAGAAATCTACAGTATATCTTACTCAGTTCGTAAAACCTACTTTTCAGAACACGCAGGAGCACCAATAATCATGTGTTTCATGAAAGCAGCTGCATCTTATTCCAGGTCTGCATGGCTGCAGTTGAAGCCTCCCCACAGCATCGATGCATTCCAGGAAAAAGACACAGCTGCTTTAATGAGTCATAGACGGAAGAAGCATTCGTCTTCCAGGGCATGGGTAAGACACTCACCTGCACGAGAGATATTTCTCAGGCTGGCAACGACGGTGTTGTAATTAGTGTTGTCAGTGTCTGCTATCTGCATGACAATGAGAAGAAGATAGCTCTATAACCTGCAAAGTAGCCTAAGGTAGAAAAAGTAGATGGATGTCTATTGTCCTCTACAGAGGACAATCCGTTATCTGAAAGGCTGTCTTTTTTCCAACTCTGGTTTAATTAATAATAACAACAAAACATAAAAGAAATAGATAGATGATAGATAGATAGATAGATAGATAGATAGATAGATAGATAGATAGACAGACAGACAGACAGACAGATAGGTGGGTAGGTGGGTAGGTGGATGGAAGAATGGATGGATGGAGGGAGGGAGGGATGGATGGATCGATGGATCGATGGATCGATGGGTAGATGGATAGCTAGATATAGGTAAATAGGTAAATAGATATAGGAATTTAGATAGATGATAGAGATATAGAGATATAGAGATATAGAGATATAGAGATATACAGATATAGAGATATAGAGATATAGATAGATAGATAGATAGATAGATAGATAGATATAGATAGATAGATAGATATAGATATAGATATAGATATAGATATAGATATAGATATAGATATAGATATAGATATAGATATAGACAGGGGTGAAATCCAAAGATTCTGACAAGTTCTGGAGAATCGGTAGTGGAAATTTTGAGCAGTTCGGAGAACCGATAGCGGAAATTTTGAGAAGCTAGGAGAACCGGCAAATACCTCCTCTGGCTGGCCCCAGAGTGGGGTGGGAAATTTTGCAATATCCTTCCCCCAGGAGTGGGGAGGGAATGGAGATTTTGCAGTACCCTTCCCTTGCCACACCCACCAAGCCATGCCCACAGAACCGGTAGTAAAAAAAATTGGATTTCACCACTGGATAGAGATAGAGATAGAGATGATAGAGAGAGATAGAGAGAGAGATAGAGATAGAGAGAGAGAGAGAGAGAGAGAGAGAGAGAGATGATAGAGATGATAGAGATGATAGAGATGATAGAGATAGAGATGATAGAGATGATAGAGATAGAGATGATAGAGATAGAGATAGAGATAGAGATAGAGATAGAGATAGAGATAGAGATAGAGATAGATATATATATATTATATTTTTTTTATATATATATATATATATATATATAACAACAAAATAAGCAATACTTGAAGCTGTCCACCCCAGGTAGCAACAGCTGGACATCACGTTAAAATTGATCCAAAGAATCCCAATCCTTTATTAAACCCAATCAAAAGAAATGTGGGATACTTGGTACTCTCTGAGCTTGGTTGTTTGCTTGCAGGCCTCATTATCCAGGGAGCAAGCCCACATTCACTAGCACTGATAACATCACCTAGTTGGGTGATGAAACGTCTCCGGGCAAACCACCAGAGAGCACCAAGGCTCCCACAGTTCAATCCTGACCTTCTATTCTAATCAAAGAAATTCAAGATGAATCATGCTTCTCTGATTCATGTTGTGTCATTAGAGCTTAGCAGCTAGGAAGGAAGGAGGAATCTGAAGGGAAAAAAACCTGAAAAAGTTCTTGTCACAGCCTACAGAAGCCAAGAGTGAAGGAACTGCACCCCAAAGGTTCAGAAGCTTCATACCAAGAAATGGTATTCAGCCGGTTCGGATCGGTTCACCCGAACCGGTAGCAGAAATCGCAGGTGAGCCCGCTCCGGCTCTATGCCATCCTGTTTAGGCACGTTTTTGAGGCCGGGTGCGTACATGGAAGGCATGCGCACAAGCAAAGCACACACAAGGAAGGCAGGCGCGCACACAAACCGGTAGTAACATAATATGAAACCCACCACCGCTCATAGCGTCAACTTTTTCATGACAACACTTTGTTATAACGGCAATTAGATTTTGGGGGGCCGTACCTTGAACAGGAAACTCAGAACAGCGAGTCCGTTTGGATGTTGCTTAGCTTCGTTGACAGTTTTGTATTTGATGTTCATGTGTACAATGTGTAGCTGTGAAGAAACAACAGAAGGATCGGTCGTCTTTCTCTATCATTTCAACTTCTCCTCCATTAATTCCTGTCCCCCTGTTGTCTTTGTTTTTTTTGTTTATTTATTTCGTCAAGCATGTATTCGATTACATATATAAGTATAGACATACTTATGAATACATGAGATGGATACAAATAAAAGGGAACATCACAACAGGGATGATAGGTGTGTTCAGGGGTGGGTTGCCCCCGGTTCGGACCGGTTCGCAAGAACCGGTAGTAAAATTAGCGGGAGGCTCCGCCCACTGACCTGGACGTAATCATAGGCGATCTGCGCATGCAGGCACGATGTTGCCCCCAATAATCCGGGTCCTCATTTTACCAACCTTGGAAGGATGGAAGGCTGAGCCAACCTTGAGCCAGTTAGGATCAAACTCCTGGCAGTGGGCAGAGTTAGCCTGCAATTCTGCATTCTAACCACTCTGAGATGAATAGTATAGTATAGGTAGGTAGGTAGTGTAGTGTAGTGTAGTGTAGTGTAGGGTAGGGTAGGGTAGGTAGGGTAGAATAGAATAGAATAGAATAGAATAGAATAGAATAGAATAGAATAGGATAGGATAGGATAGGATAGGATAGGATAGGATAGGATAGGATAGGATAGAGAATAGGATAGGATAGGATAGGATAGGAAACTAGACTTATATACCACTTCACGATGCTTTACAGCCCTCTCTAAGCAGTTCATAGAATCAGCATATCGCCCCCAACAATCTGGGTCCCCATATTATGGGTGTTGTTTTTTTTTTTTTTTAATTTTGATTTATATGCCGCCCTTCTCCGGAGACTCAGGGCGGCTTACAATGTGCTCAGCAATAGCCTTCATCCTTTTGTATATTAATGGGTTTAATGTGCTCTAATTTTATAGTTCTCAAGACAATGCTATTTTAAGTGGTCGTAGCCACATTAGTTCCACAATACAATTTGAAGACAGCATTGATTCTGGATCGAAGTCCTACGTCGGCGCTATAAAGGGACGTCATGAGAAAAGCAATTTGATAAGCGTTTGATAAAATAATTCACGTCGAACTGGAACAGCTGGCTCTAGCCCTTTTCCCCAAATATCAAAAGAAGGGCAAGGAAAAGACGCCGTGAAATTTGAAAGCTGATTTGTAAAATCATGACCGGAGAGGGCAATTCCTGAACTCTGCAAAGGTCGTGGAAAGTTCTGAAAAGCAATAACACCCAGCCAATTCTCCAGCTCCTTACTTGACGGTTAAAATACATAAAATGAAATGACAGAGGACTCGAGGTCAACCTGAACTGCTCTTTGATGTCCTTTGATGTCCACGCCATGATGAAGCGTAGGATTGTGTCTGGTGAAGTGGACCAAAAAGGAGGTGCCTCTCGGCAAAGCCTTAATTGCTACTTTCTTTGAAATACAGACAAGTGATTGAGGGAGGGGTGGATTGCTGATGGCATGCTGTTTAATTGGGGGGGGGTTGTTCTCTTTGAACGAGCATCCAGGAGATGTTTACACCCCCGTCCCTCTTTCAGATTAAGAAAATGAAGCCGTTCTTGGAAACGAGCTTGAAGAAAATTGTGCTGAGGAGTTTTTTACTTTCTGGACATTTTTTTTTTCCCTTTGTTGTTGTTGTGAGCAAAAGTGGACTGGCCTGTGTGGAAACCACACAACCGTCATCTCAGAAAGAAGGGTGGGGGAATTGCTGGTATTCTATCAATCAGAGTAGAGAATAAGAGATCAATAGATGATTGATAGACGATATATAGAAGATAGACAGATGATAGAGATAGATAGGGAGAGAGAGAGAGACAGAGAGAGGGAGAGAGGGAGGGAGGGAGAGAGAAGGAGAGGAAGGAGGGAGGGAGGGGAAGAGAGATATGATAGATAGATAGATAGATAGATAGATAGATAGATAGATAGATAGATAGATGATAGATGGATGGATGGATGATGGATGGATGGATGGGATGGGATGGGATGGGATGGGATGGATGGGATAGGATAGGATAGGATAGGATAGATAGGATAGGATAGGATAGGGAGGTAGGAATGATAGATGATAGATAAATTGAAGATAGGTAGGTAGGTGGATAGGTGGATGGGTGGATAGATGGTAGGGTAGGGTAGGTAGGGTAGGGTAGGGTAGGGTAGGGTAGGATAGATAGATAGATAGATAGATAGATAGATAGATAGATAGATAGATAGAGACAGGAATGGTAGAAGATAGATAGATAGATAGATAGATAGATAGATAGATAGATAGATAGATAGATAACAGATAGACAGACAGACAGGCAGGCAGACAGACGTGTTGTGAGAGAGAGAGATGTAGAGATAAAGAGATGGGAGAGATGGTAAAGAAGGGGAGAGAAAGAGAGAGATGGGGGAGAGAGAGAGAAAGTGGAACAACAGATAGCTAGCTATAAGACTTATTCACCAAAAATGCAATTGTACTTTGCACTAGCTCATTTAACCATAAACAGCACAGTGTCTTCTCCTCCTTCTCCTTCTCTCCCTCTCCCTCCCCCGTCACTTTATTCCTATCCTTTCCCCATCCTTTAATGAGCACCACCATCCAAAAAAACCAAGCCATGTCATACCAGGTGCTTTTCAGCATAGTTTCACAGCTGCGCCTGAACGACCGCAGAACCTGCTATCAAAACCAGGCGCTCCACTTACTTCCATGGGATACTGTATCCCATCAATGTAGTGCTCCGAGCCATTCCTCTTGAGGTCGCCCCAATGGAAGTGGAATTGCAAGGCCCGGTAGGTGTCCCTCAGTCCTCCTCTGGTGATGTTGATTTGTTCTGCAGCAGATGCTCCATCCAAGATCATTTTGACTACAGGGAAAGTCAACTTGTAAACCCAGTTTCAGAAAGAAAGAAGGACCAGTCTATCAATCTGGGATGCTAACCAAGTGTTGTGACTCCGACCCCCGAGGCCGACTTATCGGAGGGAGAAGGATCCAAACATGAAGGAGAGGAGTTGGCCAGGCCTCCCCCTCCAGGACCCTCCTCTCTGGCAATGCCTCAGGTGTCTCCCGAAGGAGAAGAGATTGGCCAGGAGCCAGGTATCTCCTCGCAGTCGGACAGTGAAGGAGATAAGTCTTGGCTGGATCCACGCCAGCGTCGGAGAGACAAGCGCACGCAGCAGAAAAGGAGGCGTGTCGGAGATTAAGCTGAGTCACTGGACCACACCCCACAGGGGATAAAAGGGGGTGAGGTGGCCATTCAGACTCTGTGACGGACAAAACTAACTACTAGCGAGTCACATTGTATCTTTGAAACAACGTTATCTGCCTTGGATTTAATACGGACTGGACTTGACAATTCTTGAACTGTGTGTATCTTGTTTGGGTTTATCTGATGGAGGAACAACCCCTCCCTCTATGAGTAAAGTTCTTGGCAAGCAGCTACTGGGTTGCTGCCAATCCTCTTATCGAAAGAATTTGTTGTCTGCCAGTTTTATTTAACCCCTGGCTATCTGTTTGTGTGCGTGTGTGAGACGGGGACAGAACACCAAGCTTCCCCACCACTTCCAGCCTTCTGGGAGGAGAAATATTAGAGGAGCTAATAAATCGGAAATCTGGCTGTGCCAGATAATAGATGGCAAGGACAGGAGAGATTGAATGATCATCAAACCTGTAGGAGATGACCAGGTTGAGCCCAAAGGAGGGGCCAAATGTGTCATAAGTCATGAATCCCTGCACGCCCATAAGAGAACTCACCCACAGCTCACCTTGAATGCCTTTCCTATCTCCCATATTATTATTATTATCTTTTAATTCATTAAACGTGTTTATTTACATCTCGTTCGCCAAACCAGTAGTTGCAAGGACTGGCTGACTCCACCCACCTCACCCCTCCCAGGAATCTCCATGCAGCCCGTTTTGGATGCCAGGTAAGTGCAGTGCCTGCGCGGAGATTCTGGGATGGCAAAAAATGGGCCTCCCGGAAGTTCCGGAAGTCTGGAAACAGGGCAGAAAACCGGTTGCTAAAATTTTTGAATCCCACCCCTGGATTCAAGATTTGGTAAACATCTGCGGAAAAAAGTCCCAGCTTCCTTGGCTCACCTTCATCGCCATTGTTCACTAGTCTCCATCTGCCTGGAGGTGCCTGGTCGTAGCCTTCAAACAGAATTTCATCCAAGCTCCGGTCGCGTCGTACTTTTCTCCGATCGATGTTAATGGGCGACTGGATCTGTCCCCCGCATCCTGAGGTGATCTCCTTCCAATGAGAAGGCCTAAAGAGACCAGAAGAACGTTGCAGACCTACGACTTCGCCCATGGCGGCTGAGAACAGCTTGCCTTGATTTTTTTTTAAATTTATATTCCACCTTGATTATTTTTTATAAATAATCCAAGGTGATGGGGATACCTAATACTTAGAAAAGGGACTTAGGATAACAGAGTTGGAAGGGACCTTGAGGTCTTCTAGTCCCCCTGCCCAGGCAGGAAACCCTACACCACTTCAGACAAATGGTTATCCAACATCTTCTTAAAAATTTCCAGTGTTGGAGCATTCACAACTTCTGGAGGCAAGTTGTTCCACTGATTCATTGTTCTCACTGTCAGGTAATTTCTCCTTAGTTCTAAATTGCTTCTCTCCTTGATGAGTTTCCACCCATTGCTTCTTGTCCTGCCCTCAGGTGCTTTGGAGAATACTTGACTCCCTCTTCTTTGGGGCAGCCCCTGAGATATTGGAAGACTGCTATCATGTCTCCCCTCATCCTTCTTTTCATCAGACTAAGGTAAAGGTAAAGGTTCCCCTCGCACATATATGCTAGTCATTCCCGACTCTAGGGGGCGGTGCTCATCTCTGTTTCAAAGCCAAAGAGCCAGCGCTGTCCGAAGACGTCTCCGTGGTCATGTGGCCAGCATGACTGAATGCCAAAGGTGCACAGAACGCTGTTCCCTTCCCACCAAAGGTGGCCCCTATTTTTCTACTTGCATTTTTTACCTGCTTTCGAACTGCTAGGTTGGCAGAAGCTGAGACAAGTCACAGGAGCTCACTCTGTTATGCAGTGCTAGGATTCGAACTGCTGGGATGAGAGGGAAGGGAAGGGAAGGGAAGAGAAGAAAAGAGGAGAGGGGTGGTGTGGTGTGGGGAGGGGAAGGAAAGGGAAGGGAAAGGAAGGGAAGGGAAGGGAAGAGAAGAAAAGAGGAGAGGGGTGGAGAGAGAAGGGAAGGGAAGGGAAGGGAAGGGAAGGGAAGGGAAGGGAAGGAAGAGAAGAGAAGAGAAGAGAAGAGAAGAGAAGAGAAGAGAAGAGAAGAGAGAAGAGAAGAGAAGAGAAAGAAGAGTACAGTTGAAAAGGACCTTAGAGGTCTTCTAGTCCAGCCCCCTGTTCAAGCAGGAGAACCTATACCATTTCAGATAAGTGACTGTCCAGTCTCTTCTTAAAAACCTCCAGTGATGAAGCATCCACAACTTCTGGAGGCAACTTCTGTTCCACTGGTTAATTGTCCTACCTGTCAGGAAATTTCTCCTTAATTCTACAGTAGATTGGTCCTCTCCTTTATTATCAATTTCAATCAGAATAGAGTGGAAGGGACCTTGGAGGTCTTCTAGTCCAGCTCCTTGCTCAAGCAGGAAATCCTATATCATTTCGGATAAATGGCTGTCCAGTCTCTTCTTAAAAACCTCCAGTGATGAAGCACCCACAATTTCTGAAGGCAAGTCGCTCCACTCCAGGGAAGGCATTCTCCATACCAGTAGTGGCCTCCACTTACCTTCGCTATCGGTTTGGAACTGTGAGCGCACCTGCAGGATTTCTGTACATGCTCAGAAGGTTCTACGCATGCGGAGAGTGTCCATGACGATGTCCAGGCGGGTGGGCGGAGCCTCCCGCCGCCACCACTACCAGTTCGGGGCGAACCTGTAGAAACCAACCACCACTCCGTACCAATTTCTTTGCCAGCCAGATCAATGTAGAAAGAGCCTGGTGGCGCAGCAGACTAATAGCCTGTTATTATCATCCAGCTGCCTGCAATTACTGCAGGTTCGAATCTCGCCAAGGCTCAAGGTTGACTCAGCCTTCCATCCTTTCTAAGGTAGGTGAAATGAGGACCCAGTTTGTGGGGCAATAAGCTGACTTTGTATAAAATATACAAAAGGATGAAGGCTATTGCTTAACGCATTGTAAGCCGCCCTGAGTCTCCGGAGAAGGGCGGCATATAAATCAAATTTAAAAAAAAATGTTCATTGCTGCCAATTATCACAACCTTCTTGTAACAACAGGAAATGGGCTTTTTTGCCTTTTTTTTTTTCCCCCAACCTTTCCATCCAGCCTCAATTAAAGGGAAGCAATATATCGATTTCTTTTCTCAGAGCAGGATTCTGGTATATAGATCAACCCTCTGCCGGAAAAATCGGTTGTCTACAGATGTTGCACTCAACAGAATCATTAACTTTTCCTCTGTTGTTTCTTTCACTTTCCTCCTGCAACGGTCTTCATTAAATTTCACAAAAGGGGTTTTGCTTATTTATAATTCAACAGGATTTCCTAGCTGGGCCTATATTTAGCCTGACAGCTAAAACGAGCTCTTCTAGCAATCTGTGACTTGTTACTAAAAAGCACCAGCTCCCATTTTATTCTGTTTTACGTTTCGGCATCTCTGTGTTACTGGGTCATAGCCAAGAGATAAACCACATGGATTTGTGGGTTATCTTGTCTTGGTGCTTGGTGGCATCATTTCTCCACCTGGACTATTTTGGGATAAGTTTATTTTGAATAAAAATATAAAACCAGGAAGCTACCCTCGCTGAGACTTTTTTTCCCCCCCAAAAAAAAGCTTCTGGGTTTCAAATAGATTCTAGAAAAAATAAAAAGATGCAACTGTGAGTCAGAGTTTTGTTTAGATGTCAACCATCTGGCTAGAGAGAGAGGGGGAAAAAAACGAAGATATAGAAGGAAAGCCAGATTGGTAGAGTTGGGCCCCCACAAGGAATGGGTGCTGTCTGGTTTATGACCCCAGATGTGGATGTTTTAAGACTGGCATACACAGATGGTCTTCAATTTCCATAAACGCCCGTGAATGATGGGAGATTTCATCTTTCGTAAAATATGATTTTTTCTACGAAAGTCGAATATTCTACAGCAGCCCATCAGCCTCGCGGACGCTGGAACAGCATTCGAAAGTATGAGCTTCTGATAGGCATACATAATTTTAAAAAGTCAAGATGGAGGAGGAGGAGGAGGAAGAAGAGGAGGAGGAGAAAGAAAGAGAAAGAGAGGAGGAGGAGGAGGAGGAGGAGGAGGAGGAGGAAGAAGAAGAAGAAGGAGGAGGAGGAGGAGGAGGAGGAGGGGAGAAGAAGAAGAAGGAGAAGAAGAAGAAGGAGAAGGAGAAGGAGAAGGAGAAGAAGAAGAAGAAGAAGAAGAAGAAGAAGAAGAAGAAGAAGAAGAAGAAGAAGAGAAGTAGTAGTAGTAGTAGTTGCCGTCGGAAGTTGTGGGAGCTTCATCACTTGAGACTTTCAAGGAAAGATTGGACTGCCATTTGTCAGAAACGGTATAGGGCAGGGGTCAGCAACCTGCGGCTCTGGAGCCGCATGTGGCTCTTTCACCCTGCTGCAGCTCCCTGTCGCTCAAAATATGTGTCACAACAGCCAATGTGTGACACCCACCGGCACGCTATTTATTGAACTTTTCGACCCCCGGTAGCCCAACCATGGATAAATCCAAGAAAAGAAAAGTTTCAGAAGAAAACAGAATGTTTAATTCAACTACATATGCTAGTTTTGTGGCCACTCAAGAAATAACCACTAACTGTGGTCTCTTAAATACTTGTTTCATATTGTACTGGTAAGTATATCTTGCAGTATCTCTCATTACGTCACGCTCAACTTCCCAACTTGTTGTTCTACAGATGCACTGCGTGTCAACTCACAAAGCATCCCTGGCCTTCTCTCGAATTGCCATAGGCAAGGGGGATGGGAAACGGCGAAGCAGTACGGCAGCAAAAACAGGAGCACATTCCAGACATATCTTTCTCAAGGCTGTCTCCCAGGGTTACCCACAGTGGCCGGAGGGGAGTGATCTCTATAACCTGTGAAATTGCTCCATTGGCGAATGTGATTGATGACACACCCAGGGGGGAGGGGGGAAACAGGGTCATGATTGGGGCCGTAAATTATGTAGGGTCAGAGTTGGCTTCATTTGAAGCTCCTAATAAATAACTGGATTTCTTTTCAAGCTTGGCTCGAGGCTCATGATTTAATTAGGGAATTCATTGGAATCCTGACACTGGGACTATGTACTACTTCCGTTAGCCACGCTGGCTGAGAGTCATAGGATTAACAGATTAACAGAGTTGGAAGGGACCTTGTAGGTCATCTAGTCCAACCCCCACCCAAGCAGGAGATGTGTTCCTATTGCATCTGAAGGTACCCTGTTAGAGAAGGGTATCTCAGACTACAGGTGAGAGGTACATACACCCAAAATCTTTCCAAGCAGTATCTTCAGAAATCTGTCTCCAGTACTCACCACATTTAGGATCTTGGGAATCATAGCACCAAAGACCTGGATATGTAGGAGATGGAAGGTAGAGAAGAGAAAATTTGTATTAGCAAAAATAGGAAAATAAAAACAAACAACAGCGTACAGATGACACCACACCCCATAGTGTGGATGACCAAAACTGGATGCAGGATTCTATCTGACCCACTTCTAAATGAACGGTTTGCAGGAATGGGGTATGTCTAGTCTAACCAGACATGATAGTGGTCTTCCAAATTTTGAGGGGCTCTCACAGAGACGAGGGAGTCAACTCATTCACCAAAGCACCAGAGAGTAATGGATGAAAATTTATTAGATTAGATTAGATTCAGGGGTGAAATCCAGCAGGTTCTGACAGGTTCTGGAGAACCGGTAGTGGAAATTTTGAGCAGTTCGGAGAACCGGTAGTGGAAATTTTGAGTAGTTCAGAGAACTAGCAAATACCACCTCTGGCTGGCCACAGAGTGGGGTGGGAATGGAGATTTTGCAATATTCTTCCCCCTGGAGTGAGGAGGGAATGGGGATTTTGCAGTATCCTTCCTCTGCCACACCCACCAAGCCACACCATGCCCACCAAGCCATGTCCATAGAACCGGTAGTAAAAAAATTTGGATTTCACCACTGATTAGATTAGAATTCTTTATTGGCCAAGTGTGATTGGACACACAAGGAATTTGTCTTGGTGCATATGCTCTCGGAGTACATAAAAGAAAAGATATGTGCATCAAGAATCATAAGGTACAACACTTAATTATAAGTCATAGGGTAAAAATTAGCAATCAGGAAACAATACCAA